GTGTACTAAACCAATTATGAATTTAAAATGTACTAATAGTATTATAATCATGCTATGTATAATATTATTATATTTGAAATAGAAGAAATTATTTAATATATTGTAATTATTTAATAAATTATGAATAAATTATAACAATTATGCAAACTATGATAATTAATCATACAGTTCTGTATCCACAGTTTTATCGTACAATTTATTCTTTCAAACAAAATTATAATTGTTCAAAATTTATATTGCTATACAAGTCATTTTATTATTTCTCAGCCAAAAAAAATTATAAAACATAAAACAAAACAGGTACACTTCCGTGCAAAGCACGTGCACATATACTAGTTGATAAAAAAAGTTAGGGTACTCTTTATCAATTAGTGCATTTATTTTATCAAATATTCACAAAAGCTAAGTGGCTTATATGGTTAGGGTGTATGAATTACATATAGTGGTTGTGTGGTTGATTCCTTCCCTAGTGAATTTTTAATTAGGCATTAAATAAAAGGTATATTTTGCTTATAAACTGAACTTATAAACTAATTTATTTATAAGCTAATCAACTTTGTAAAGGACTCCTTAGAATCAAAATAATTTTAATAAAATAATATAATTACTATGATATTATGTTTTTGTGGTCTATAAACACAAAGTTTTACCTCCTTTTATTTTTTAAAATTTATCCTTGCAAGACCCGTTAGAATTTGAGGGACTAATTAGCAATGTCAATGATATCAAAAACTAATATAGAATTATTAAATATTTGAGGGACTAAAATATGTGAAAATCCATTTAACCAATATGTCAAAACTCTAAAGTTATGATGGGGATGATGATTACAAAATTATGGGCTAAAATCTGAACTCAACTAGTGATATCAATTTTTAGAAAATCCACTTTAAATTCATGGCCGAAAGGATTTAAACCTAGGTTGCTTATGATATTATTTTAAATTAAGTCCCTCTAACTATTACATCTAAAACAATTGTATCGATTTATCAACAGGCGCCATTCACATGCTCTCTAATTGTATTGGAGCCATTCCATGATCCCATTCCAAACTTCTTTCGCATAATTGCATCCAAAGAATAGATGTTTACGACCCTCTGCTTCAGTCCTAGAGCATAAACAACAACTGTTGGATTGAATAACTCCTCTCCTTTGTAGCTTATCTCGTGTAAGAAGTCTATCCTAGGCTGTAAGCTACAACACGAAAGAATGCTTAAGATAGTTGAGTTTCTTCCAAACTGTTTCATACCACTACACTTTGATTATTGTAGGACATAGGCGATAATACAAATCAGATAGATGAACCTTGAGGTATTTATAGCAAGAACTGATCATCAGTTTCAAGTTCTCAGCTCCTCCACAAGAAATTAACACCTTATCTCTGACTTTAAGTAGTTGTTTCCACATTCAAGAATCTCCCTTTTTCATCACAACCCGCTAGATGTCCCTATTTTTAAATAGGTCCCATGAACACATTTGATCCACAAAGATTCTTTGTTGATATGAATGCACGAAAGAGTTCTTAATACTCATGCATTGTTCCAGATTGTAGCTAAAAAAATCCCTAAGCCTCCAAACTTCTTCCCAAGATAGATTTTATCTCATGATACTAGTGGTGTTTTGATCACATGATTAGTTTTTCCCTAAAAACTCATGCACAACTCATCAATCTTTTGGAGAACTTTTACTGGAAGGACATAGCTAGATGTCCAGTAAATTTGAATTTCTAGTATGACACTTTTTATAATTTGCAACCTTCCACCATACAATAGGTTTCTATGTTTTGTCCAAGCTTGAAATTAGCTAGAAATTTTTGTGAAAAGTAGACTGCAATCAACATAAGATAGCCTCTTGTATATAAGAGGAACTCCTAATCATCTGATTGGTAGTGTACCTTCAGAGAAGCCCAATTGATCATGAATGCAATCCTTTACTGAATTTTCAGCCCCCCATAAACAATTGAACACTTATGTGAGTTAGCTTCCAAGCCTAAAGTTGCGCTGAAGTTGGTGATGCATTGATATATTCTCTGAACTGAATAAGGATCACCATTGCTAAATAAGAATAGGTCATCAAAAAAAATCAAGTGACTGATTTTGAGCTTTCCACATTTAGAATGAAACTTGAAGCTTCTGTCATGTTTCAATTGATTGGACTTCTTGAGAGATTTTCCATGTCATGAATAAACAAGTAGGGAGACAAGGGGTCACCTTGTATTAGACCCCTTTCACCTTAAAATACCCATGAAGTGAGCCATTTAGAGAGATGGAATACTTCAGGGAGGTTATACAAGCCATGATCCATCTAATCATATTATTAGGGAAACCCAGGCCAATTAGCATCCCTCCTATAAAACTCCAAGTGATTGTATCAAAAGCCTTTCTTATATCAATATTCAACATGATTATTGGAGATAGATGCTTCCACCCATAGTTCTTTATAAGCTCATGGGATAACATGATGTTATTTGTAATTTGTCTCTCTTTAACAAATGCACTTTAAGCTCATGGGTGTTGAGGTTTGATGTGGTTCACTGTTCCATGTTCCTGCTTCATCAAAGATAACATCTCTGGAGACCACTAATTTGTTAGTATCAGGATTGTATAGTCTGTAGGCTTTGGATTCTTCATTGTAGCCATTAAAGATGAGTTTAAGTGGTCGTATCTTTGATGCCATAATAGAGAATAGTTATTTTCTTCTGATTTGAGTATAAGATTCTCTATAGACATTTTTAGGGAAAAACTTTGTTAGGAGCCATTTTTATTCTGATCATTATTTGCTTATTCTTATCATCTATTATCACACATTCATTCTTAAAGAAATTGATTGCATATTCTTTTTGGATTAATTGTCCTACACTAGTAAATTTTTAGTTACCACCGAAACATAAAAAAAAATTTGAAATGTATTTAGTCTTACCTCCCTTCATCTGGACTGCTATCACTCCCTTTTTTTTTTTTGGTCAATGAAAATTTTATTCATATCCCAATTGAGAAATATGTACACAACAAGAATACTCAGTACTATGGACTGAGATTTACAAAAAAATTACATGTATATGAAGAATAGAACTTCATATTAACATGAAAAGCTCTCTGTCACTGTTAGAGGGGTGCAGACTATTCAATAGTATGGTTGAGACATCATATTTGATTTCCTTCACTATCTGATCAGCATCCTTGAATTTTTGTGAGAAGATCCGTTCATTTCTTTCCCGCCAAATGTGGTATATAGAAGCTGTAAAAACCAGTCTTTTAAGCTTTTGCTTATATCCTCTTCCTCTCAAACTTGCAAACCAATTAACTAGATGAGACCAATTAGTAGACTTCCACCCAAAGCCTGACCATTCCATGATTTTGTCCCAGATGTAGCCAGAGAAGGAACACTCAAAGAACAGGTGATCCCTAGACTCCAAGCTTAAACCCATACATAAACTGCAACTGTTGTTATGAACACTCAAAGAACAGGTGATCCCTAGACTCCAAGCTTAAACCCATACATAAACTGCAACTGTTGTTATTTGTAATTCCTCTTTGCAGCAATTTGTCTTGGGTCAATAGTCTATTTTGCATAGCTAACCAGCTAATAAAGGCATGTTTAGGGATGTTTAAACTCCCCCAAACAGTTTTACACCATGAGACTTGATGAGATGTAGGAAGAAGCCCTGCATACAAAGCTGAAATTCTGAGTTTGGAGCTCCTGTGGCAAGAATGAATGAAGTCTTTTAACCTGTCAGCTCCTCCAAAAAGAATCAATGCTTTATCCTTGACTTTAACCATTTGTTTCCACATCCAAGAATCTCCTGTTTTAGCTTTTACTTGCCATATATCACTATTCTTGAGATAATTTCCATGGATCCATTTGATCCACAAAGATTCCTTGTTTACATGTATAGACCAAATGTTCTTCAGTGCACTTGCAAAATTCCAGTAATAAGCCGAAAACACTCCCAATCCTCCTTGCATTTTCCCAATACAAACTTTTTTCCAAGAAACTAGAGATTTCCTAGAAGAATCCCACAAGAATCTCCTGCACATTTCATCTATCTTATGAAGAACACTGGTAGGAAGAACATAGCTTGATGTCCAGTAAATCTGTATACCAAGAATCACACTTTTGATAACTTGTAACCTCCCTGCATAGGATAAAATTTTATGGTTTTTCCAGCTTTGCAACTGTCCCGAGATTTTATCAAAAAATGCATTGCAATCCATGTGTGACAATCTCTTGGATATGAGTGGAACTCCAAGGTATTTAAATGGCATTTTACCTTCAGCAAATCCCAGAATGTTGGCTATGGATTCTTTGACATTGTCTTCAACCCCTCCATAAAGAATAGAACATTTTTCAGGATTAGCCTCTAACCCTGAAATCTCACCAAAGGATTTGAGGCACTGATATAACTTGTGCACAGAGTATGTATCACCTTTAGAGAAAAGTAACAAATCATCCGCAAAAATGAGATGGGTGATCTTCAGATTTTTACATTTAGGATGGAATTTAAAAGCTTTATCATCTCTTAAAGATGTCAAGCTTCTTGATAAATATTCCATACCTAAAATGAAAAGATAAGGGGAAAGAGGATCTCCCTGTCTCAACCCTCGTTCACCTTTGAAATAGCCTTGCAAAGAACCATTGAAAGATATTGAAAACTTTGGGGTAGTTATACATAACATAATCCATCTTAGCATGTCAGCTGGGAATCCCAAACCTGCAAGCATTTTTTCAAGAAAGCTCCAACTTATTGTATCAAAGGCCTTTCTTATGTCAATATTTAGCATGACCCTTGATGATATTTTCCTCCTGCTGTAGTTTTTAACCAGCTCATGTGCTAACATTATGTTGCTAGAGATTTGTCTTCCCTGTACAAAAGCACTCTGAGCCTCATTGACAATGTATCCCATGACAGGTTTAATTCTATTTGCCAGGATCTTTGTTATGAATTTATACAAGCAGTTACAACAAGAGATTGGCCTGAAGTCTGCTGGAGTTTTAGGACACTGGACTTTAGGGATAAGAGAAATTGAGGTAGAGTTTACAGCTCCCAACAATTTACCAGTCCTGAAAAATTCCTTTATAGCTAAGGTAACCTCATCCCCAATTATAGGCCAGGCAGTCTTAAAGAAAGACATACTGTATCCATCAGGCCCTGGGGCTTTATCCTCAGGTATTGAAAAAACAGCTGCTTTTATTTCAACCTTTGAAACAGGTTTCAACAGTTCATTGATTTGTGCATCATTCAGACATGGACCTGATTTGATAATGTTGATGTCAGGAGGGAGAGTGTTAATTGCCTTGCCCATCAGATTTTTATAATATGATGTAAGCTCCTGCACAATACCTTCATCATCAGTAATTTTATCTCCTTTGCTATTGTAGAGAGCCAAAATTCTGTTATTATGTCTTTTATACTTAGCTATAGAATGAAACAGCTTAGAACTTCTATCACCATGCACATTCCAGTTAATCCTGGCCTTCTGCTTATAAAAAGACAGTTCACAATCAAGGAGCTTATTGTATGTGAGGATGCATTTTTTCTCATGAGCAATAAATTCAGAATTGAGAGGGTCAGAGTGTAGAATTCTCTGAGCATCTTCTAAAGCAAATTTTGCTCTTTGCACTTGCTCACTAATGTTATGAAAATGTTTCTTGTTCAGATCTATTAACTCCTTCTTCAACATTTTGAGCTTTGCATAAACTGAGTACATAGTATAGCCTTGAACAGGAGTGTGCCAGATTTTTGAAACAGTGGGAATGTAATTTTCATGCTTGGTCCATATTTTGAAGAATTTGAAAGGCTTCTTTCCCTGTTTCAAGTCATCATAAACAGAAACAATGGCTGGAGAATGATCAGATAGATTGGGGAGCATGAATTCCACATGACTAGAAATGTATTCATCAATCCATGCATCATTTATCAAAGCTCTATCCAACCTACACCAGATCCTTGAATTTGCATCTTGTTTGTTATTCCAAGTATAAAAACATCCCTGAGTTTTTAAGTGCCTGAGATTGCAATCCTCAATAAAATTCTTGAAATCTTTTGTATCAGCCTCTGTTAGATTTATACCACCAAGCTTTTCTTCATTGCTCAGTAAGCAATTAAAATCTCCACATATTATCCAAGGAACATTCCTAATTTTTTGGGATATCTGTTTAAGATCTTCCCATAGCTCTTTTCTAGCTTCCTCTCTGTTAAAACAATAGACTGTTGAAGCAATGCAGCTAAGTCTACCATCCAATGATTTCATATAGCAAGTAATATGCTGATCTGAAATTTTGATCACCTGAATGTCAAAAAAATTCTGATCCCAAAGGATAAGAATTCTAGCTTTCTCAGATCCTCTTACAGTTGACAACCATTTCCAATTTTTTGCAATCTTTTTTGCAGTGGCATCCAGTAATGATTCCTTAATTTTGGTTTCAATTAGAGCTATGAATGACAGATGATACTGTGAAATATGGTTTCTCACCATCTGCTGTTTAGGGGACTTGTTTAATCCCCTCACATTCCAAAAAGATAAGTTCATGTGAAAGAATCTCCCCCCCTGTCAATTGTACAGGGGTCATCTGCAATCTTTCCTCCAGTTGAATTTCCTGAAGAATTCCTCTTTGACTTGTTCCCTTGAACAAGAAACCAGCAATCCCTATCTGTGATCAGTTTGTCATGCATGACATGCATAGAGTTTTCATTTTCCAGTTTTTGACCATCCAGCAAAATTCCATTGCCTTTTAACACCTGAGAATGATTGGTCTGCCTATTAACTCCATTTCTCAATTCCCCTTGTGATACACCAATTCCTTGCATAGACTCCCTAATAGTCTGCTGCCCAGAAACATGCACAGGAGGAGATGGCATATGAACCTGAACAGGAGACATCTCAGTGGATACAGGTGCAGGCATAGTAGGTATATGCACAGGAGGTACAAGCACAGGAGAAACATTGCACAGAAGATTGCACAGGATCAATTTTCTGTTTTGGTCTCCATCTCTGTACTTTCACCTGTTTTTTGCAAAAATTAGTTTCATGACCCACAATTTTACAATTTTCACACCATCTTGGCTTGAATTCATAAAACACCTTCTGTGTTATTTTTTCCCATTTGGTCCCTGGATATGAATCTCATCAGGAAGCGAGGAGGGTAAAGTAACTTCAACCAACACTCTTGCATATGCTAGCCTTTGTCTATTTGCTGTCAACTTATCAGTGGTAATTGGCTTACCTATAAGACTGGCTATTTTGCTGATACTTCTTTCATTCCACAAGTTAAGCCGTAAACCTGGCAAGTGTATCCACACAGGGTAGACACTATCCTTTCTTTTCTCAAGTTCATCATCAATAGACCAAGATTTCAAGAGAAGAGGTCTAGAACCTAGGAACCAAGGACCATTCTCCAGAATTATACTCATGTCTTCCAGATTTTTGAACTTGAAAAGAAAAAGTCCAGGTTTTAGAAGACAGATTTCTGGTAGTGCTAAGCTTCCCCATATTTTCTTCACATAAGTCTCCATAGCCTTATATTTGATATTTAGACCCAAGACTTGTCCAATAAGAGAAAACTTCCATATGGAACCACCTTCATTCCACTCATCTTCATCAAATGTTACTGAATCTTTGATATCAGGTTGAATATAGTTCAGATTAAAACCATTTCTAGGTTTTCTATTATCTTTAAAAAAACTCACCCAGCTTTTCCTATTATTTTCAGGATCTGAAACAGGCACTTCTTCATTAGATTCCAAAATCAACGGTGAGTCATTTGCCTCTTTGCCATTTGATATGACAAGAGGCGGAAATTCATTTTCTCCTCCAAGAAGACCAGAATCATCATTTTGAGATGAGATCTCAATAGGATTTGAAGAAGAAACCAAATTCAGAGAAGAGACATTGCTATGAGTTTTCATTGATGAAATAGTTGAAGCAAATTCCAAATCAAGATCATCCGCCCAAGAATTTGAGATGAATTACCAGAAATCAGGGACTTACAGAGATTTCTTGATTGAAGACCTTTTTGTTCAAGAATCCTTTGAGATTGCTGCTGAGGATCCATCAAGAACTTATTTGAATTGAGAATATCCTTCATCAGCAGCTTCTTCTTTTCTCCCTTTGGACCCGTTGACTTCATCACCTCAAGCTCAAGATCTCCATCATCTTCAGCAAAACTCGTATCAGAGTGATCACTAGATGAAAGTAAATCAGAATTAGCATCTCTCGATCCTAGATTAAGGATCTTCAAACCACCATTTCTCTTTTTTCTAAGTAAATCAGAATTAGCATCTCTCGATCCTAGATTAAGGATCTTCAAACCACCATTTCTCTTTTTTCTTGCCATTTTCCTCGGCGGGGGCGCAGGTTAACAGGATCGCCTGTTAACATGCACCATGAGAAAGAACCGCCAAATTTTTTTTTAATTCGCTATCACTCCCTTTCCTTCAATGTTTATTAATTTTTCGTCTCTAAGCTTTATTTGAGAGCTAGCTCCATCCTTCAGCTCTACGAAGCTGCTCTTATTTCCTATCACATGATTGTTGCATCCACTATCCAAATATCAAGTATCTTTTCCTTCTGATTGTGCATTAAAACAAGAGTAATATAGGTGATTGGTTTCTACTTCTATATAGTGGACTTCATCATTTTTTGATACCAGCAATATTCTTGGGAGTGATTAGCATTTCTATAGTTTGTGCATTTAAATTTACAGTTATATGTGTTATGTCCAGACTTACTACATATTTTACAATAGGAGGTAGACTTACCTTTTAAGAAATCTTTATCTCTCTTATTCATTCTTCCTTGTCTCCCGAACTTTTTTTCATGGTAGTTGTCTCTTCCTTGTCTCCCGACCACATAGATCACATTTAAGCACACGTGCATGTTTATAATGAGAATTCTAAGCATATGGATGTGTGTATGATGAAGAAACATTATAAGATGCACAAGGAGCATTAATAGTTTTATGTTTGTGTGCATCATAGCAAAATTTAGCTAAATGACCTTTGTGGTCGTAAATAGAATATTTATAAACTTTGCTATATTTGTGTGCATAGTATATAGGATGTTTAATAGTAGCATGAGTTTTAGCATACATATCCATAAGCTTTTTGTTATTATCAATGCATGTTTTTAAGATTCAATCTAAACAAAATATGTGGTTCTTAACATGATTCAACTCATTATTATTAGGCACATATGCATTAACACTAGAAGTAGAAAGAGCATGATTATTTTTGAATGAATTAAATTCATTTCTAATTATTTCTGCCTCTAGCATGACATCAATCTTAGCATGAGATAAGTTAGCAATGGATGATGTTAGTTTTTTATTTTTCAATTTTAACATATCATTATTTTCTTTAAGCATATTTTCTTTTTTAATGATATCAAAATTGGAAGCTAGCTTCTCATGATCGGATTTTAAAATGACGTGCTTGCTTTTTAAATCTAAAAAGATATGATACAATTTGTTATAGGCATGTAATAATTTTTTAGAAGCATAAGAAAGTTCATCACTAGATAAATCATTAATAGATTCGAACTAGCAAACCTCACTAGGGCTATCGCCTAGTGACCGTGTGCATGATGATGCTCCAATTGAACTTGAAGAGGAAGCCGCCAAATTTTGTCGGATCGCCTCTTAAGTTTTCTTGATGTGCTTCTATGAATTTCTATAATTTATAAGCACTATCCAATGAATCAAGCTTGTTAGAAAAAGATAAATCAAAAAAATTCTAACAATAGCTTATTCATTGTAAACATCTTATGATCATCTTTACTCCACTTGGATTTCTCCGAAATAGGTACAATATAAGCACAATCAATTATTTTCCACAAATTGAAGTGTCTAGATTGAACAAAAAGTTTAAATCTAGCATACCATTGAGCATAAGAAAAATTATCTAATCTAGGAGCAACATTAACATCATAGCGTAAGCAAGGTGCACAATGCATATCCATAGTTAAAAATGTGCAAGCAAGATATAAATATAATCAAAACTAGATTAGCACAATAAGATAACTTGGATATTTAACTCAAGGTAATTAGATCTTAAATCAAAGAGTACCAAGCTCTGATACTAATTGGTAGACCCTAATGACACTAGGAAAGACCCTAGAGGGGGGGGGGGGGGAATAGGGTTTATGCTAATCTAATCTGATTTAATGCTAATTAAAAACTTATTAATAAGTTATCCTAGCAATTAAGATATACAAGAGTTATGTGCAATAATAAGCAATATAAACAAAGAGCAATATCCTAGCAAAGATATATATGGTGAAATATATGTAAGGATATATAAACTAACACAAGGGTGAAAAAACAAATTATAAATGTGATAGGGTAATATACACAAAAAGTAATAGATAATGGTGATATAAGATACACATAAAAGTAAATGCGGCAATGACAAACTCAAACACAAGCAAGTGATCACGGAGTTCGGACCTTCCGTCCTACGTCTACGCTCCCCACTCTCGGGGAGAACTCCACTATCATAACTGGGTTTTCTATGCTCATCCGAATAACGTTTACACCACACAATATTAGTTTTTAATGCTCACCGATTAACGTTCATAATCTCACAATATAACTACACAAACTACCACCTAAAGTGTTGGCCTCTCACATGTCTCCCTCAAGTGTTAGGAATTACAACCTATCTCTAGGCATTACCACCTACCTCACTCCTCTTGGGACCGACCACGTCTCTCACCTCTACACTTCTCTTGGTGTACTTGTGAAATACAAAGTAAATGCTCATAATTAAGCTCGCTATAACAAATGGTTGTTCTCTAAATTAGGATGAGAACACAATGAAGCTCACACTCTAAGTCATAAACCCACAATCCTAAATTATACTATGAATACAAATACAATAAGCTCAATAGGTTGTGAGTGAATAAAGAGATAAATCAAATCAAACTAAACTCAAATAAATTCTAGCTTAATAAAAATAAAAATCAGACACATAAAATAGCTAGGTTGAGTTTAGAAAAACTTCTCTATATGATAACAAGAGAGAGTGAGAAGAGTTGAATGCTCAAACACCTATGGATGATCTCCTCTAGCTCTTGTGAAATTATCTTCACAAACAGAAACTTAAAAATGCTTAAAAACTTCTTAAACAAACTTAAACCAAAACTTAAACCCTTATTAAAACACTCCTAAACTTCTTTAAAATATTCTCAAGGGTATTTATAACAACCCAAGACATCAGCCAAAACCCCAAGAAATGACCAAAAAATCAACACAAAAACAGAATCTAGAAATAGTAATTACTGTGCAACAGTAACGTCGATGGTCGACCGTAGAGCCATGGTCGATCGACTATGAAAGGCTGAAGAATAGAGCAAAGTCTATGGACTTTTGGCGGTCAACAGCCACGACCACTCCGGTCGACGGTGGATGGATATTTTTCAGATACTCAAGTTTAAAACAGAAATGCTAATTTTTAACATGCATTTAAAAATAGCAAATAAATTCCAAAAATATAAAACTTTGGGAAATAATTGTAAATATGAAAATGAACATACTTAAAAATGAACATGAAAATGAACATACTTGAAATTAGATGTTTTGATTAAACCATGTCTTAAAACTTTATAAAATAATTTTATAGACTTGATAAAAGATATAAACTATTGTTGTTAAGTCTATAAACCAAAAAACACAATGTTTTATCAAAATACACATATTATACAATAAAACATGATTTCATTGAATTATAAAAAAACTTGATATTGATGAAATTATATGTAAGCATGTATAAACATGAAACAAAAAAGTATTTTCTAATTATATTCAATTGTTTCATATTTAAACTTGAAAACTTATAAAACCAAAACATGTATATATATAACTATATATATACAAAACCAAAAACGTGTATGTGTGTATATGATATTGAGCTTAAGATTTCTACACACATAATATAAAACCTAAAATAATTTACCTAAACTTGATTGATTTTCATTATAGCTTGACTTGGTACACTTTGCGGATGAAACTTGATCTTGGATCTTTATCTTGAATTATATTGCTTCATTCCACTATTCCTCCAACCTCCATTGGATATGATCGTAAAAACTCGATTCCATCCAACCTCCAACTAATTGTTTGTCTAGAATAAATAGAAAAACACAAACACTAGACAAATAATATTAGTTATAAATTATTTGTAAAAACATCATCAAAACAAGAAGGCCAACATCTCCACCTCTTGGCTTGAAGATCTGCTTCTTCTAAGGTCATGTGACTCTAAAGAAGACATTAGTTCATAAAAACTTACTTTTGATAAATCTTTAGGTTCTTCTATAGCAGCAACAATATGATCCCATGTAGGGGGAAGACTTCTATATCTTCTCAACAATCTTCTTATCCTCTATTTTATCCCCATAGCTTCTAATTTGGTTAATAATTGAGATAACTCTATCAGAAAATTTCTTAATGGATTCATTATCTTTTATCTTTATGTTGTCAAAGTACTCCATAAAGATTGTAGCTTGATAGAGATTATCTTATCGGAGCCCTTGAATTCTTATTTGACTATGTCTCATACATCCTTTGATTTTGACGCGGACATTATCTGAGGAAAGACTGCTTTGCTTACCCCTTGTTGGATAAAGAGAAGCGCCTTCATAACCTTTTTCTTGTTCTCCTTATACTCCTTTTGCATTGCCAGTGTCCATGATGCTAACATTGTTGAGTCATCTAGACCCTCATTCCCTTCTTCGACAAGCTCCCAAAGTTCTTAAGAGATGAAGAGTATCTTCATTTGGAGGCTCTAGAAGTCATAATTTTTACCATCGAAAATGGGGACTAAGTTTTGAGAGTAGTTGAAAAGAGAATGGGCAATTGGTGATGAGGCTACGATTTAGAATGGTAGTGAAAGGCTAAAGGCTTTCAAGATTGATTTGAAGTAGAATAGCATGGCTCTGATACCAAATTTGTTGGAGTTGCGGAACCTAGATGGGTAATTAATTTTAATTTTTGTAGGATTGGTAATGGAGGAAGTAGGAAGGGAAAATGAGAAGAGGCTAAGAACTTGAAGTAAATTTGTACGAATTGCTTAAGGTTTGATTACAAATCTTACATTCAATGCCTATTTATATGCTCATAAGGAATTCTCTAGAATGCTTAGATTTTTCATAATACATCAAGTTTTTAGAGAATTCTATATAATTATATTTTCTACATACATCCATGCTTAATATATCTAGTTTCTAGATTATTCTAGACATTTCTAGTTTACATGCACTACCAAAAAATGGGTCTATGGGGACGGTTTATAACCGTCCCATTAGACAACATAACCGTCCCCGTAGGCCTAAGGGAACGGTTACTCATCTGATACCTTTGCCGCCGTGGTACTTGGTCTAACGTGACAGTTCATGATTCAAGTAGCACGGTTCTTGAACTGTCCCTGTTTGTAACATTTGGGGACGGTTTATTTATGGGGACGGTTTCAAGCTTGATCTAAGAGGACGGTTATATTATCTATGGGAACAGTTTTTTTTGTTATCTATGGGGACGATTTTTATACCAAGGGGAACGGTTTCAAGCTTGACCTAAGAGGACGGTTATATTGTCTATGGGAATGGTTTTATTTTTTATCTATGGGGACGGTTTTTATACCAAGGGGGGCGGTTTCGAACTTGACCTAAGAGGACGGTTATATTATCTATGGGAACGGTTTTGTTTTTTATCTATGTGGATGGCTTTTATACCAAAGGGGACGGTTTTCATTTTTTAATGATCAAAACAAATCACCCAGATATCACACATCAGTCCATCACATACAAAGAAACAATAGTCCAAGTTTTACACACAAACTAACCAAACTTTAGCCTTAATATAATGAACAATTCATTACAACGAAGAATAATATTACAACAATAGGATTGAGATAATTCTTCACAAGTTTTACACACAAACTAACCAAATTAAGCACATATCACAAATCCTCCAGGATTAAAACAAAGAGCTACTACTTAATCAAAAGGTCAAAATGTCTCTATTGAGACGATTAAGTTCTAAATCTTCACAACAAGTAAATCCCCCAAAGAGCGACAAGCATGGATCTTCAAATGTTTTCCTACATACATCAAGATAAAAAGATGAGTAAGCACAAGATAAGTAAGCACAAGTAGGATGCTAAGTAAAATGACATTAAAAACATGTAAAGCATGTGAAGACGAACAATGACTACTTAAAAATCTCAACTATGTAAAACACATATATACGTTACCATTATCAAACCTAACATTTAGTTAATATTTATGATGTGTTCTAAATAAAAAAAAGGAATGAGTGGATATCTCTAGAGTAAGTCATAACCCTTAGGCTATTTACACAACTCGACAGGCATCTTTTTTAACTCATTTACATTCACAAGTCTATACAAAACCAACAATAACTTACAGTGTCATCTTTTCCTTTGTTTTCTATTCCATGAACTTCCCCATCATGAGCACAACTTTGTGATTTAGCAATGTCCACATAACTGCCTCGGCTGATCCCTGATTGGAGAATGAACCGTTCAATCCAGCCACCCTCAGTGCCCAGAATAGCAAAATTACCACAAGCACTAATTGTGCAAGCCTGTCAGGAAAATAGAAGAATGCTTAAAATGACCCATAACTTCCATCACAAACTAGAGAGAATTGATACTTACACTGATGTTTTTATATATGTCATATTATTGTGGTAATAAACAAGTAAAATTACCTACGGTGTATTAAACAAATTCGAAAAGAACATACCTTAACATGTGTTTGCTTGTCGGTGGAAGGTGTGGGAATATGTTCACCAAGGACAAAGTTCTGAAGACGCCACACGTAAGCTTGTGGAGTATCCATATGACAGGTCACAACGTTACCCCAATCATGTTCACGGATCTCGACTATAAATATTTTTTTTTTGAAAATGCAAGATCAGTAAACAAATGAACTATCAAGAAAAAGAATATATGTTAAAGAATAATGAAAATACACATTATAAGCTTGGAGAGGACTTTGGCGAACGTAAGATGACATGCAATACTTATCACAGCACAGAAACAATGCTGCGATGTTTATAAAATAGAACTCTTTCAAATATTATCGCCCAGTACAACTGACCCCGCACCCGTGAAACATAGTTTATAATTTAGGTAACATGAAGAAGAATTACATAGTAAGGCAACTTATGGGCCAGAGTTTTGGAAGCACATGCAGTTGCAGCTTTAGTAAGTTAAATTATTTTGGGCCAACAATCATGAGATCAGGAACATCTTTTTTTAAATCATAGAACTCAAGCAAGGCAAGCTGAAGAAACTATAGTTTACACTTCCAAAAACTTAAGGCCTACATAAGTCTGCTAGGCATTAGAAACAGGCCCGCTGTGCTCAAATATGGACATCAACAACTTTTTAACATAATTTCACACATTCTTCCCTCAGCTAGAAGAATGAAATGAGACCACGTGAAGGGAATGGTTTTACCAAACTATTTAATTCCACAAAACAAGGGCTGCAGTCAAGCATCGACCCTCCAAGACTACAACACGAACACCATCGCGTTATTGCAAATACAGGAACACACTCCTTAACATACACCATCTGAAGCTCAGGATGAAATGACAATTCGGTCAATATAATAATATGAGAACTTACCCAAAATATTTCCTATGACAATAATAAAAAAAAGAATGTTAAAGGAGAGACTATTACCAACATCAAAGGTGATAACAAGCTTTAACTTGATCTCTTCTTCCTGAGAAAGAATAATAGTGCTAAATTAGATGCCTCTTTATCCACCAACAAAAAAAAGATAGTAAACAGGGCATGCGGAGCAAGTCAGTTTATCACCTTTTGTTAAAAAAAAAACAAAAACAAAAAAAGAAAAAAAAGAAGAAAAAACATTCATAAAAACAGCCCATAAGATTTTAATAAACAACAAATTCATCTTCTCTCTTTATACCTTCATCACGAGTTTCTTGGCTCTTTTCGTTATATGACACTGAGAAAGTTCTCTACTTTGCTGGTCCAGCCAAAATAGTGAATTTTAATTAATTTAAACAAGATATACAACACAAATTTGTTTAATGGGGTTTTCCAGCCAAAATAGTGAATTTTAATTAATTTAAACAAGATATACAACACAAATTTGTTTAATGGGGTTTTACCAATAAAATGAATATTGTAAGCATCAATTAGAATTGACACAAAAGGCCTACCTCAATATATTTAAAGTGATATAGCTACAATCACCCATAGTCTCAAATATAAATTGCATATAAAATACTAGGCTCTTCAAATATTGCCATATCAGACTAGTTAAGTAGAAGACTAGTCAGATACATACATCTAAGTTTCACTAAAGTACACATAAAGCACTAACATATCTACGCATCAAATTACATAATAGTATAAATAACTATAGTACATTATACAACGAACTTTCTAGATTGACCTAATACTCTTCACATAAACATCTGCTTGAATCAAAATAAATCTTATGCACCACTGCATGCATGAATTAAATTTTTAACTTCATACTCACTGACACTGGTATATTTTCAGTTACATCTCAAATACATAATAAACTTTAGGATGTATTTAATAAATCTTAACATATCTGAGCATCCAGTAAGTATTAGATGTAGGCAAGTCCTCTATGAAGTACCTATGCAAGATAGGTAAAGCCAATAAAACAATAATGTTAACATTTTGTAAAATGATAGAATGACAAGCATATGTGTCTGACATGGGCATTTTTTAGTAAGAAACTAAAGATAGGTGTGAATTGTCCACTTAAAACTAAAATCAGCATATCTACATGGAAATCAAAATGTCACAAACCTGCACTACTGAGAAAAGCCGGAAAGCACGATCTTGAAGAGTCGAAAATCAAAATGTCACAAACCTACATCAATCAAATATTAACCCTCAATCCATCAACCAAGACGCCATTTTGGAAACACAGAACCAATATCCAAACCTAAAAATTCATCAAATACCAAAATTAAACAAAAAAAATTAAAAAAATACCCCATTTTTAGCTTCAACAAGATGCTCCTCGTCAAGATGACAGCATAACCCAACAATATCAAAATCCTCAGCATAGAATGGGCACCCAAACTTCACGCGGAAATCGTCCTCCCCTCCTTCGACATCATCAAACCCTAGGTTCAGATCTACCAACAAACCACAAAATCAGTCACACCAACGTATACAAATTCACAAAAGGAGATCAACTTTGAGGAAATCAGCGCACCGAATCGAGATTGAAGAGTCAATTGATGGCGCCTCGATGCAGCGGAGAATCGGCTCTATGAATCGAACTCCATAGGGTTTTGATGCGGTCGAATCTGGGAAAGAATCCCTAGCAGAATAGAACCCTAGAGCACTGGATTTGGTAAAATTGGGGATATTTATTAATCTAGGGTTAAACTTAATATTCTTTTGTTAAAATTTGGGGTGCGAACATAAAGCCTATAATAAAACCGTCTCATTAGCTCATTACTGGGTTTTTTTGCAAGCCTAGCTCTAGCGTAACGTTTTATTTTAAAGCGTTGTCTTAGACTCTCTTGTGACGCTTGGAACCGTTTCACAACCGTTCCCTTTGGAGGCAAAGGGGATGGTTTTAAACCGTCCCCAAATAACCGTCCCCATATACCTATTTTGTGGTAGTGATGCTTTTTACAAATATCCTAAAATTTTCTAGAATTACAAATTATCTTTTAACAAGGACTTACTTTTGGATCAAGTGGGTTCCTAAAAACCAGCTAAAGAGAGGTACTACTTGGACTGTGCATGCCAGCATTGGGAATTCTTGGATCTAGAAACAGTTGACTAAGGTTAGAGATTACGCTATTAACCACTGTGGAGGAGCTGGCTATTTTGTTTTCTTTCATTCAGGAGTGTAGTGTGAACAGCAAAATCTGTCTTTATACACTATACTTTGATTCTTACTATTTAACCTAATAAACTTTGCGAGAATACTATACACCAAATTCTCCCTTACAATGAACTCCTGGATGGTGCCAAACTGCTTGGGGGTCTCTAAAATACTCTAAACATCCTTTCATTCTACGACTCTTTGTTCACTCTCAATTACATATAGAGGACTAGTTGTATGCTACATGCAGAGTATATCCTCAAATTTGTGTACTTCGTGCTCTTATACTGTGAAGAAAATCATTGACACCATTATTTGCTTGCTCATATTCTATGGTGGTCTGGAATTCGACTGGTTTTCAATGGAGAACATGCAACTTGAGTTTGTTCTCGAGCTAGCACATGAACATGATTGAGAGGAAGGTGGTTTAAACAACAATTGAAATGCATGGTTCTTTCTGCAATATTGTATCATAACTGGCAAGAAGGAATTTGCGTTTGCTAGCACTTGCATAAAGCTAGAAGCCCTGAGGTGCTAATTCATTGCATCAAAGCATCGGTACTATCTGCTATCTTGAAAAGTTCTCTTGATGAAATTCACAAAGATTGGGTAAAGAAATTGCAAAAAAAAAAAAGGAAAAAAGAAGGGAATGTCTTGGATTATATGTTTTGATATGTATTGTCTCTCAAGATGTCTGTAACCGGAGTCTATGTTGTCCACGGCATTCTTTTGGGTAACTAAACAATTTTATTCATTACCAACTGTAAGTTATGTACATATACTCTTCAGCCATGTACATAACCTTCATTTGGTAAATGAATAAAATTTTCATTGAAGAAAAAGGGAAAAAAATAAAGAAATCATGACTAAATAACTTGAAACTTGCTATTGTCCTAACCGATTAACTAAAAGTTCCCACTAAATCAGGCATGAATTATTATGAATTTTACTATATATATAAAAAATCCTAAGTAAATTTTACTGGAAACAATCCTACAGAGGTAAAACCAAACTCTATGACAAACTTTGTATATCACTCAATATTGTCCTTTAATACTAATAAAAACCTTAGAGAGGAAAACCAAAAGCATTATACACTTCATATAATATGCATGTAAGTATACATGTATGTAAGTAATAGAGCATCCAACAACTCTAAGTGTTCTGCTTTTATATCCCTGTTTGGTGGGAAAATTCGAAGAAGACAATTGAGAATTGAATTTATTTTATTCTTTCTAACAAACTTAGAAAAAGAATTAATTACAATTCTCTCGATACAATTCCTCTCTAACAGACTTAGAAAAAGAAATTATAAATCTTCTTGTATCGGAATTCTGATTTACAAAAGAGAAGAGGATCGACAGAGATCCTCCCCTTTGTTTAAAACTGGGTTCTTCACAATAGCGATGAGATGCCTCCCTCGACGTTCGTATCGAGTTTGCTTTTCATTGACGATCTGACGTTTCACCTCGCAGGATTGAAGTTGATAAAACTTGCGTGGCAAGTTTAAAAATAACTCAACGAGTTTAAGAACTCCGCGCGAGTTTAAACTCTGTAACAGAGTTGATTTGAACCGAAATTCGGTTAATAAACCAAGTATCAAAGATCTTTGATCTCAGTTGTTGAAGAACGTTCCAAGCTCTTTGTTGATCTCTAGATCCAAAAATGCTCAAAGATTAAAAGATCTAAAGATGACCACGATCCGATCTGCCCAAGAGATCTCTCCTAATCCCTAGAAGTCAGCTCCTTAACTCAGTTGAGTTTGTTGAGATTTATAGGGGGATTAAGGGGTGTAACTGCCCCCCTTAATCCTAAGTGGGGGAGTGATCCCCTCAAATCTTAGAAAATGGTTTTGAAACCGTTCAGCTTGTATTTGAACGAGTCAAACGGAAAATTCACATTCTGGCATGAATTCTGCGTTCGAACACAGTGTTTGGAAGCTCGAGCGTAGCGTCTGGAAGCTCAGACGCAGCGATTTGGAAGTTGCGTTTGGCAGCACTTGGAAGCTGCATTGGGTAGCGCTTGGAAGCTGCATTGGCAGCTGAATCTGAGTTGTGTTTGTAGCATTCGGAGGCTACGTTTGTGGCCAAACATGAGTTGTGTTGCCAGATGGATCTGAGCTTCATTTGCAACGTTTGAAGCTGAATGTGAGCTGTGTTTACGGATAGGTTTGAGCTGCCTTTGCATTGCTTTGACTCTGGAATGCGGCCACTTGCGTTTTGATTTGAAGAGACCGTCAATTTGTAGTCTCTTTTGCTAGACCGTGCAAAGATCGTCATCTTATAACGTTCGTCTTGGCTCCTTGAAAATATGAGAGTCGTCGATTGTAACTCCCGATGTTGATTGTGAAGGCTGTTAAATTAGAGTTTTCATCGGTTGTTGTGAAGGTTGTCAGATTGTAACCTTCATCGATCTACGTGAAAGTTTTTAAGTTGTAACCTTCTGAAAGTCGTCAAATTGTAACTTCCATCATCGGTGTTTGATGAGAATCAGCTATCTGTAGTAATTTTTAGACAGCCTACAATCCCTACGGTTCCAACACTTGCACAACCTTTAATAGTAGCCAAAATCTGCGCGTTTGTATAAATTGTTACAGTGACTTTTGAGTAATTTAAAATCACAAGTAATAAAAGTTATATATCTGTGTGCTTGAGATTACCCTGAGGATCTCAACATTTACAACTTAATTGAGCAGTGCTGCTAGCCACAAACACACACACCATCAATATGTATAATGGTCATACTTATAAAAAATAAAAACCATAAATCTGTGCTTTTTGAAAAAAAGGAGATGTCAATCATTTATTCAAAAATTTAAGTTATTGATTGTTAGGGATAAGAATCTATATTAGAACACTCTCATATGTGAGACTTTATGATATATTGCTGAAAACTACTAGCTTCATATTTCTTCAATAAGAAATTTACTCAAAACTTAAAGTATTGAAATATTAACTAGTGATGTAATCAATTTAAATTTAGTTCTTACAAGAGGGAAGATAAGGAGATATTAGCAAAACAAACTAGACAATTTAATCTATCTGCAAATTAGCCAAAGTGCAATCAACTTATTTAAGAATGGCCCCTAATCAACTTTTATGACTGCCCTTTCGATTTAGATTATAAAGAAAAATTGATTTTTTTTGTCTAACCAAGACCATAGACATATATAGTTGAGTAAAACCCACAAAGAAAGAAAAGGAAAAGAGTTTCATGTTAACTATCTAAATTTTAAAGCAATTTTCTTAAGAGTTCAAACTCAGATCTATGTTTCTGATTTATTTACATGAGTTAATTTGTTAAGCGGAAAAATTAATTTTAAAATTTAAATTTTGAAAAAAATTCAAAGCTCCAGGATATGAGCCTCCTCAAGTTTAATTGAGTAGTATTAATATATATCTCAGATTTGTATTCTTCTTCCAAATAATAATGAGTAAGGCGTACTCAAGTCTGTCTAAGTGGTAAAGTGGGAGTTGGACAAAGAGGATCTCAGATCTAAGATCAAATTAACTAGTCTTTGCTTATAAAGAAATAAAGGATGAAAAAAAGCCCCACAATTAAGTTCATAGAAATCAAATATGAGATTAAAATAATTGTGAGAAATTTGTATGCAAGTCAAAAAGAAAAAGAAAAAGGAAAATATAGGAGAAAATTTTGAAAGAACAAGAGGAGAAGATCTACACCAAACTCGAAGAGTTGGTGGTGGCTGACAGATAGAGCAGTGAGCACACATAGCTTCAAGCATGAACCTCATTTTATGCAGGAAATCACCATGGGTGCTCACTCTCTTCTGTCAATCTCCATTAATCTCAACTCCTCTCAAATTGTTACCTCTAGCTCTATTTATGAAAGAACTAATCTCTATAGATCTCCAAGCTCTAAATCTGACTTGTATGATTGTTCTTCTGATGAGTTAAGGTTTGGTTTGCTAGGGTTTTTATAGGAGAAAGGAGAGAGTTATCACTAGCTTGTTTCATGTCTGAATGGAATAAATGTGCTGTGGCTGTAGCAATAAAATAATATTTTCACAGTTATTCCTGTCTTTTATGCATCTGATCATTCTCAATGCACCTTGTACTTGTAAATTAACTACTTTAAACAATAAGTAATTAAATAGAGAAGAGTGAACAGTATTCTATAAACCCTAACTTTATCTTTTTTGGGAAAATGCTAAGTATATATAGTATATAACTTATACTACTTTTGTACCATAGTAGTATAAAAAATAAAAATAAAAATAAAAAGTAAAAGTGGAGTCCAATCTCAAGCTCATAAATTTTCATTTTTTTTTAGTTCATGATTAACATAACTCTTGTAATCTAACACATGAAAAACTAACCACATGTCAACAATAAAAAGAATGACAAACTAGAGAAACCATCATAGCAATACAGGAGCATGATCAATCTCTTAAACAATAATATCAGCTCTCTACTGAATACTAAATTAATAGTCGGTTGAATGTACTATGTATAACATAGGGTTTCTGTGTACATGGCTGAAAATATACTAAAGTACCCACCAATCCATACAACCATATATT